GGTGACGTTCCTCTCGCGCATCCTTGACATTTCACCAATCCTTGCATGCCCACGCACCAGCCCCATCATTTTCAAAGCATGCCTTGCACTAATTCCACCCTCATCCACCCCCTAAACCCAGATTAACGTAGATGGCTCATTCCTTTTCACATTAATTTTAGATTTATTTGTGATTTAATTACTTGGTGACCTTCAAATCTTCCTGCCTTGCCTTCTCTTTCTTCCTGACCAACATCCTCAATCCCTTACAAAATTTCAAGGGGTGCCTTGGCCTGTTTGTCCCACTCGGCTCGTCGTCCACCTTTTTCTCCTTCGCTCGTCTCCTGTTTGAATCGCTTTTAATTATTATTATTTTAATAGGTGACGTTCCTCTGGCCCTTCTTTGGTCTTTCAGCAAGCCATGCAAGCCCACCGAGCAGCAACATCATTTGCAAAGCGTGCCTCACTTTCAATCCACCCTCAACAACCCACGCACATCGAGTAAAGCAGCCGGCTTATTATTTTTGTGAGTAAATTTTATATTTATTTTCTATTTAATTTCTAAGTGACCTTCAACTCTCCCATCTTTGCCTTCTCTCTCTTCCTGACAAACATCCTCAATCCCTTACAAATGTTCAAGGGGTGCCTTGGCCTTTTTGACACTCAAGGCACTACGTCCTTTATTTACGCTTTAGCATGAACTATGCTGAAATCACTTTTAATTTTTATTTTTTTAATAGGTGACGTTCCTCTGGCCCTTCTTTGGTCTTTCAGCAAGCCATGCAAGCCCACCGAGCACCAACATCATTTGCAAAGCGTGCCTCACTTTCAATCCACCCACGCACATCGAGTAAAGCAGCCGGCTTAATATTTTTGTAAGTAAATTTTATATTTATTTTCTATTTAATTTCTAAGTGACCTTCAACTCTCCCATCTTTGCCTTCTCTCTCTTCCTGACCAACATCCTCAATCCCTTACAAAATTTCAAGGGGTGCCTTGGCCTTTTTGACCCTCAAGGCGCTACGTCCGTTATTTACGCTTTAGCATGAACTATGCTGAAATCACTTTAAATTTTTATTTTTTTAATAGGTGACGTTCCTCTCGCGCTTCCTTGACATTTCACCAATCCTTGCATGCCCACGCACCAGCCCCATCATTTTCAAAGCATGCCTTGGACTAATTCCACCCTCATCCACCCCCTAAACCCAGATTAACGTAGATGGCTCATTCCTTTTCACATTAATTTTAGATTTATTTGTGATTAAATTACTGGGTGACCTTCAAATCTTCCTTCCTTGCCTTCTCTTTCTTCCTGACCAACATCCTCAATCCCTTACAAAATTTCAAGGGGTGCCTTGGCCTTTTTGACCCTCAAGGCGCTACGTCCGTTATTTACGCTTTAGCATGAACTATGCTGAAATCACTTTAAATTTTTATTTTTTTAATAGGTGACGTTCCTCTCGCGCTTCCTTGACATTTCACCAATCCTTGCATGCCCACGCACTAGCCCCATCATTTTCAAAGCATGCCTTGCACTAATTCCACCCTCATCCACCCCCTAAACCCAGATTAACGTAGATGGCTCATTCCTTTTCACATTAATTTTAGATTTATTTGTGATTAAATTACTGGGTGACCTTCAAATCTTCCTTCCTGCCTTCTCTTTCTTCCTGACCAACATCCTCAATCCCTTACAAAATTTCAAGGGGTGCCTTGGCCTGTTTGTCCCACTCGGCTCGTCGTCCACCTTTTTCTCCTTCGCTCGTCTCCTGTTTGAATCGCTTTTAATTTTTATTTTTTTAATAGGTGACGTTCCTCTGGCCCTTCTTTGGTCTTTCAGCAAGCCATGCAAGCCCACCGAGCAGCAACATCATTTGCAAAGCGTGCCTCACTTTCAATCCACCCACGCACATCGAGTACAGCAGCCGGCTTAATATTTTTGTAAGTAAATTTTATATTTATTTTCTATTTAATTTCTAAGTGACCTTCAACTCTCCCATCTTTGCCTTCTCTCTCTTCCTGACCAACATCCTCAATCCCTTACAAAATTTCAAGGGGTGCCTTTTTGACCCTCAAGGCGCTACGTCCGTTATTTACGCTTTAGCATGAACTATGCTGAAATCACTTTAAATTTTTATTTTTTTAATAGGTGACGTTCCTCTCGCGCTTCCTTGACATTTCACCAATCCTTGCATGCCCACGCACCAGCCCCATCATTTTCAAAGCATGCCTTGCACTAATTCCACCCTCATCCACCCCCTAAACCCAGATTAACGTAGATGGCTCATTCCTTTTCACATTAATTTTAGATTTATTTGTGATTAAATTACTGGGTGACCTTCTAATCTTCCTTCCTTGCCTTCTCTTTCTTCCTGACCAACATCCTCAATCCCTTACAAAATTTCAAGGGGTGCCTTGGTTTTTTTGACCCTCAAGGCGCTCCGTCCGTTATTTACGCTTTAGCATGAACTATGCTGATATCACTTTAAAATTTTATTTTTTTAATAGGTGACGTTCCTCTCGCGCATCCTTGACATTTCACCAATCCTTGCATGCCCACGCACCAGCCCAATCATTTTCAAAGCATGCCTTGCACTAATTCCACCCTCATCCACCCCCTAAACCCAGATTAACGTAGATGGCTCATTCCTTTTCACATTAATTTTAGATTTATTTGTGATTAAATTACTGGGTGACCTTCAAATCTTCCTTCCTTGCCTTCTCTCTCTTCCTGACCAACATCCTCAATCCCTTACAAAATTTCAAGGGGTGCCTTGGCCTGTTTGTCCCACTCAGCTCGTCGTCCACCTTTTTCTCCTTCGCTCGTCTCCTGTTTGAATCGCTTTTAATTATTATTATTTTAATAGGTGACATTCCTCTGGCCCTTCTTTGGTCTTTCAGCAAGCCATGCAAGCCCACCGAGCAGCAACATCATTTGCAAAGCGTGCCTCACTTTCAATCCACCCTCAACAACCCACGCACATCGAGTAAAGCAGCCGGCTTATTATTTTTGTGAGTAAATTTTATATTTATTTTCTATTTAATTTCTAAGTGACCTTCAACTCTCCCATCTTTGCCTTCTCTCTCTTCCTGACAAACATCCTCAATCCCTTACAAATGTTCAAGGGGTGCCTTGGCCTTTTTGACACTCAAGGCGCTACGTCCTATATTTACGCTTTAGCATGAACTATGCTGAAATCACTTTTAATTTTTATTTTTTTAATAGGTGACGTTCCTCTGGCCCTTCTTTGGTCTTTCAGCAAGCCATGCAAGCCCACCGAGCAGCAACATCATTTGCAAAGCGTGCCTCACTTTCAATCCACCCTCAACAACCCACGCACATCGAGTAAAGCAGCCGGCTTAATATTTTTGTAAGTAAATTTTATATTTATTTTCTATTTAATTTCTAAGTGACCTTCAACTCTCCCATCTTTGCCTTCTCTCTCTTCTTGACAAACATCCTCAATCCCTTACAAATGTTCAAGGGGTGCCTTGGCCTTTTTGACCCTCAAGGCGCTACGTCCGTTATTTACGCTTTAGCATGAACTATGCTGAAATCACATTAAAATTTTATTTTTTTAATAGGTGACGTTCCTCTCGCGCTTCCTTGACATTTCACCAATCCTTGCATGCCCACGCACCAGCCCCATCATTTTCAAAGCATGCCTTGCACTAATTCCACCCTCATCCACCCCCTAAACCCAGATTAACGTAGATGGCTCATTCCTTTTCACATTAATTTTAGATTTATTTGTGATTAAATTACTGGGTGACCTTCTAATCTTCCTTCCTTGCCTTCTCTTTCTTCCTGACCAACATCCTCAATCCCTTACAAAATTTCAAGGGGTTCCTTGGTTTTTTTGACCCTCAAGGCGCTCCGTCCGTTATTTACGCTTTAGCATGAACTATGCTGATATCACTTTAAAATTTTATTTTTTTAATAGGTGACGTTCCTCTCGCGCATCCTTGACATTTCACCAATCCTTGCATGCCCACGCACCAGCCCCATCATTTTCAAAGCATGCCTTGCACTAATTCCACCCTCATCCACCCCCTAAACCCAGATTAACGTAGATGGCTCATTCCTTTTCACATTAATTTTAGATTTATTTGTGATTAAATTACTGGGTGACCTTCAAATCTTCCTTCCTTGCCTTCTCTCTCTTCCTGAGCAACATCCTCAATCCCTTACAAAATTTCAAGGGGTGCCTTGGCCTGTTTGTCCCACTCGGCTCGTCGTCCACCTTTTTCTCCTTCGCTCGTCTCCTGTTTGAATCGCTTTTAATTATTATTATTTTAATAGGTGACATTCCTCTGGCCCTTCTTTGGTCTTTCAGCAAGCCATGCAAGCCCACCGTGCAGCAACATCATTTGCAAAGCGTGCCTCACTTTCAATCCACCCTCAACAACCCACGCACATCGAGTAAAGCAGCCGGCTTATTATTTTTGTGAGTAAATTTTATATTTATTTTCTATTTAATTTCTAAGTGACCTTCAACTCTCCCATCTTTGCCTTCTCTCTCTTCCTGACAAACATCCTCAATCCCTTACAAATGTTCAAGGGGTGCCTTGGCCTTTTTGACACTCAAGGCGCTACGTCCTATATTTACGCTTTAGCATGAACTATGCTGAAATCACTTTTAATTTTTATTTTTTTAATAGGTGACGTTCCTCTGGCCCTTCTTTGGTCTTTCAGCAAGCCATGCAAGCCCACCGAGCAGCAACATCATTTGCAAAGCGTGCCTCACTTTCAATCCACCCTCAACAACCCACGCACATCGAGTAAAGCAGCCGGCTTAATATTTTTGTAAGTAAATTTTATATTTATTTTCTATTTAATTTCTAAGTGACCTTCAACTCTCCCATCTTTGCCTTCTCTCTCTTCCTGACAAACATCCTCAATCCCTTACAAATGTTCAAGGGGTGCCTTGGCCTTTTTGACACTCAAGGCGCTACGTCCTATATTTACGCTTTAGCATGAACTATGCTGAAATCACTTTTAATTTTTATTTTTTTAATAGGTGACGTTCCTCTGGCCCTTCTTTGGTCTTTCAGCAAGCCATGCAAGCCCACCGAGCAGCAACATCATGCGCAAAGCGTGCCTCACTTTCAATCCACCCACGCACATCGAGTAAAGCAGCCGGCTTAATATTTTTGTAAGTAAATTTTATATTTATTTTCTATTTAATTTCTAAGTGACCTTCAACTCTCCCATCTTTGCCTTCTCTCTCTTCTTGACAAACATCCTCAATCCCTTACAAATGTTCAAGGGGTGCCTTGGCCTTTTTGACCCTCAAGGCGCTACGTCCGTTATTTACGCTTTAGCATGAACTATGCTGAAATCACATTAAAATTTTATTTTTTTAATAGGTGACGTTCCTCTCGCGCTTCCTTGACATTTCACCAATCCTTGCATGCCCACGCACCAGCCCCATCATTTTCAAAGCATGCCTTGCACTAATTCCACCCTCATCCACCCCCTAAACCCAGATTAACGTAGATGGCTCATTCCTTTTCACATTAATTTTAGATTTATTTGTGATTAAATTACTGGGTGACCTTCAAATCTTCCTTCCTTGCCTTCTCTTTCTTCCTGACCAACATCCTCAATCCCTTACAAAATTTCAAGGGGTGCCTTGGCCTTTTTGACCCTCAAGGCGCTACGTCCGTTATTTACGCTTTAGCATGAACTATGCTGAAATCACTTTAAATTTTTATTTTTTTAATAGGTGACGTTCCTCTCGCGCTTCCTTGACATTTCACCAATCCTTGCATGCCCACGCACCAGCCCCATCATTTTCAAAGCATGCCTTGCACTAATTCCACCCTCATCCACCCCCTAAACCCAGATTAACGTAGATGGCTCATTCCTTTTCACATTAATTTTAGATTTATTTGTGATTAAATTACTGGGTGACCTTCAAATCTTCCTTCCTGCCTTCTCTTTCTTCCTGACCAACATCCTCAATCCCTTACAAAATTTCAAGGGGTGCCTTGGCCTGTTTGTCCCACTCGGCTCGTCGTCCACCTTTTTCTCCTTCGCTCGTCTCCTGTTTGAATCACTTTTAATTTTTATTTTTTTAATAGGTGACGTTCCTCTGGCCCTTCTTTGGTCTTTCAGCAAGCCATGCAAGCCCACCGAGCAGCAACATCATTTGCAAAGCGTGCCTCACTTTCAATCCACCCACGCACATCGAGTAAAGCAGCCGGCTTAATATTTTTGTAAGTAAATTTTATATTTATTTTCTATTTAATTTCTAAGTGACCTTCAACTCTCCCATCTTTGCCTTCTCTCTCTTCCTGACCAACATCCTCAATCCCTTACAAAATTTCAAGGGGTGCCTTTTTGACCCTCAAGGCGCTACGTCCGTTATTTACGCTTTAGCATGAACTATGCTGAAATCACTTTAAATTTTTATTTTTTTAATAGGTGACGTTCCTCTCGCGCTTCCTTGACATTTCACCAATCCTTGCATGCCCACGCACCAGCCCCATCATTTTCAAAGCATGCCTTGCACTAATTCCACCCTCATCCACCCCCTAAACCCAGATCAACGTAGATGGCTCATTCCTTTTCACATTAATTTTAGATTTATTTGTGATTAAATTACTGGGTGACCTTCAAATCTTCCTTCCTGCCTTCTCTTTCTTCCTGACCAACATCCTCAATCCCTTACAAAATTTCAAGGGGTGCCTTGGCCTGTTTGTCCCACTCGGCTCGTCGTCCACCTTTTTCTCCTTCGCTCGTCTCCTGTTTGAATCGCTTTTAATTTTTATTTTTTTAATAGGTGACGTTCCTCTGGCCCTTCTTTGGTCTTTCAGCAAGCCATGCCAGCCCACCGAGCAGCAACATCATTTGCAAAGCGTGCCTCACTTTCAATCCACCCACGCACATCGAGTAAAGCAGCCGGCTTAATATTTTTGTAAGTAAATTTTATATTTATTTTCTATTTAATTTCTAAGTGACCTTCAACTCTCCCATCTTTGCCTTCTCTCTCTTCTTGACAAACATCCTCAATCCCTTACAAATGTTCAAGGGGTGCCTTGGCCTTTTTGACCCTCAAGGCGCTACGTCCGTTATTTACGCTTTAGCATGAACTATGCTGAAATCACTTTAAATTTTTATTTTTTTAATAGGTGACGTTCCTCTCGCGCTTCCTTGACATTTCACCAATCCTTGCATGCCCACGCACCAGCCCCATCATTTTCAAAGCATGCCTTGCACTAATTCCACCCTCATCCACCCCCTAAACCCAGATTAACGTAGATGGCTCATTCCTTTTCACATTAATTTTAGATTTATTTGTGATTAAATTACTGGGTGACCTTCTAATCTTCCTTCCTTGCCTTCTCTTTCTTCCTGACCAACATCCTCAATCCCTTACAAAATTTCAAGGGGTGCCTTGGTTTTTTTGACCCTCAAGGCGCTCCGTCCGTTATTTACGCTTTAGCATGAACTATGCTGATATCACTTTAAAATTTTATTTTTTTAATAGGTGACGTTCCTCTCGCGCATCCTTGACATTTCACCAATCCTTGCATGCCCACGCACCAGCCCCATCATTTTCAAAGCATGCCTTACACTAATTCCACCCTCATCCACCCCCTAAACCCAGATTAACGTAGATGGCTCATTCCTTTTCACATTAATTTTAGATTTATTTGTGATTAAATTACTGGGTGACCTTCAAATCTTCCTTCCTGCCTTCTCTTTCTTCCTGACCAACATCCTCAATCCCTTACAAAATTTCAAGGGGTGCCTTGGCCTGTTTGTCCCACTCGGCTCGTCGTCCACCTTTTTCTCCTTCGCTCGTCTCCTGTTTGAATCGCTTTTAATTTTTATTTTTTTAATAGGTGACGTTCCTCTGGCCCTTCTTTGGTCTTTCAGCAAGCCATGCAAGCCCACCGAGCAGCAACATCATGCGCAAAGCGTGCCTCACTTTCAATCCACCCACGTACATCGAGTAAAGCAGCCGGCTTAATATTTTTGTAAGTAAATTTTATATTTATTTTCTATTTAATTTCTAAGTGACCTTCAACTCTCCCATCTTTGCCTTCTCTCTCTTCTTGACAAACATCCTCAATCCCTTACAAATGTTCAAGGGGTGCCTTGGCCTTTTTGACCCTCAAGGCGCTACGTCCGTTATTTACGCTTTAGCATGAACTATGCTGAAATCACATTAAAATTTTATTTTTTTAATAGGTGACGTTCCTCTCGCGCTTCCTTGACATTTCACCAATCCTTGCATGCCCACGCACCAGCCCCATCATTTTCAAAGCATGCCTTGCACTAATTCCACCCGCATCCACCCCCTAAACCCAGATTAACGTAGATGGCTCATTCCTTTTCACATTAATTTTAGATTTATTTGTGATTAAATTACTGGGTGACCTTCTAATCTTCCTTCCTTGCCTTCTCTTTCTTCCTGACCAACATCCTCAATCCCTTACAAAATTTCAAGGGGTGCCTTGGTTTTTTTGACCCTCAAGGCGCTCCGTCCGTTATTTACGCTTTATCATGAACTATGCTGATATCACTTTAAAATTTTATTTTTTTAATAGGTGACGTTCCTCTCGCGCATCCTTGACATTTCACCAATCCTTGCATGCCCACGCACCAGCCCCATCATTTTCAAAGCATGCCTTGCACTAATTCCACCCTCATCCACCCCCTAAACCCAGATTAACGTAGATGGCTCATTCCTTTTCACATTAATTTTAGATTTATTTGTGATTAAATTACTGGGTGACCTTCAAATCTTCCTTCCTTGCCTTCTCTCTCTTCCTGACCAACATCCTCAATCCCTTACAAAATTTCAAGGGGTGCCTTGGCCTGTTTGTCCCACTCGGCTCGTCGTCCACCTTTTTCTCCTTCGCTCGTCTCCTGTTTGATTCGCTTTTAATTATTATTATTTTAATAGGTGACATTCCTCTGGCCCTTCTTTGGTCTTTCAGCAAGCCATGCAAGCCCACCGAGCAGCAACATCATTTGCAAAGCGTGCCTCACTTTCAATCCACCCTCAACAACCCACGCACATCGAGTAAAGCAGCCGGCTTATTATTTTTGTGAGTAAATTTTATATTTATTTTCTATTTAATTTCTAAGTGACCTTCAACTCTCCCATCTTTGCCTTCTCTCTCTTCCTGACAAACATCCTCAATCCCTTACAAATTTTCAAGGGGTGCCTTGGCCTTTTTGACACTCAAGGCGCTACGTCCTATATTTACGCTTTAGCATGAACTATGCTGAAATCACTTTTAATTTTTATTTTTTTAATAGGTGACGTTCCTCTGGCCCTTCTTTGGTCTTTCAGCAAGCCATGCAAGCCCACCGAGCAGCAACATCATTTGCAAAGCGTGCCTCACTTTCAATCCACCCTCAACAACCCACGCACATCGAGTAAAGCAGCCGGCTTAATATTTTTGTAAGTAAATTTTATATTTATTTTCTATTTAATTTCTAAGTGACCTTCAACTCTCCCATCTTTGCCTTCTCTCTCTTCCTGACAAACATCCTCAATCCCTTACAAATGTTCAAGGGGTGCCTTGGCCTTTTTGACACTCAAGGCGCTACGTCCTATATTTACGCTTTAGCATGAACTATGCTGAAATCACTTTTAATTTTTATTTTTTTAATAGGTGACGTTCCTCTGGCCCTTCTTTGGTCTTTCAGCAAGCCATGCAAGCCCACCGAGCAGCAACATCATGCGCAAAGCGTGCCTCACTTTCAATCCACCCACGCACATCGAGTAAAGCAGCCGGCTTAATATTTTTGTAAGTAAATTTTATATTTATTTTCTATTTAATTTCTAAGTGACCTTCAACTCTCCCATCTTTGCCTTCTCTCTCTTCTTGACAAACATCCTCAATCCCTTACAAATGTTCAAGGGGTGCCTTGGCCTTTTTGACCCTCAAGGCGCTACGTCCGTTATTTACGCTTTAGCATGAACTATGCTGAAATCACATTAAAATTTTATTTTTTTAATAGGTGACGTTCCTCTCGCGCTTCCTTGACATTTCACCAATCCTTGCATGCCCACGCACCAGCCCCATCATTTTCAAAGCATGCCTTGCACTAATTCCACCCTCATCCACCCCCTAAACCCAGATTAACGTAGATGGCTCATTTCTTTTCACATTAATTTTAGATTTATTTGTGATTAAATTACTGGGTGACCTTCAAATCTTCCTTCCTTGCCTTCTCTTTCTTCCTGACCAACATCCTCAATCCCTTACAAAATTTCAAGGGGTGCCTTGGCCTTTTTGACCCTCAAGGCGCTACGTCCGTTATTTACGCTTTAGCATGAACTATGCTGAAATCACTTTAAATTTTTATTTTTTTAATAGGTGACGTTCCTCTCGCGCTTCCTTGACATTTCACCAATCCTTGCATGCCCACGCACCAGCCCCATCATTTTCAAAGCATGCCTTGCACTAATTCCACCCTCATCCACCCCCTAAACCCAGATTAACGTAGATGGCTCATTCCTTTTCACATTAATTTTAGATTTATTTGTGATTAAATTACTGGGTGACCTTCTAATCTTCCTTCCTTGCCTTCTCTTTCTTCCTGACCAACATCCTCAATCCCTTACAAAATTTCAAGGGGTGCCTTGGTTTTTTTGACCCTCAAGGCGCTCCGTCCGTTATTTACGCTTTAGCATGAACTATGCTGATATCAGTTTAAAATTTTATTTTTTTAATAGGTGACGTTCCTCTCGCGCATCCTTGACATTTCACCAATCCTTGCATGCCCACGCACCAGCCCCATCATTTTCAAAGCATGCCTTGCACTAATTCCACCCTCATCCACCCCCTAAACCCAGATTAACGTAGATGGCTCATTCCTTTTCACATTAATTTTAGATTTATTTGTGATTAAATTACTGGGTGACCTTCAAATCTTCCTTCCTGCCTTCTCTTTCTTCCTGACCAACATCCTCAATCCCTTACAAAATTTCAAGGGGTGCCTTGGCCTGTTTGTCCCACTCGGCTCGTCGTCCACCTTTTTCTCCTTCGCTCGTCTCCTGTTTGAATCGCTTTTAATTTTTATTTTTTTAATAGGTGACGTTCCTCTGGCCCTTCTTTGGTCTTTCAGCAAGCCATGCCAGCCCACCGAGCAGCAACATCATTTGCAAAGCGTGCCTCACTTTCAATCCACCCACGCACATCGAGTAAAGCAGCCGGCTTAATATTTTTGTAAGTAAATTTTATATTTATTTTCTATTTAATTTCTAAGTGACCTTCAACTCTCCCATCTTTGCCTTCTCTCTCTTCCTGACAAACATCCTCAATCCCTTACAAATGTTCAAGGGGTGCCTTGGCCTTTTTGACACTCAAGGCGCTACGTCCTATATTTACGCTTTAGCATGAACTATGCTGAAATCACTTTTAATTTTTATTTTTTTAATAGGTGACGTTCCTCTGGCCCTTCTTTGGTCTTTCAGCAAGCCATGCAAGCCCACCGAGCAGCAACATCATGCGCAAAGCGTGCCTCACTTTCAATCCACCCACGCACATCGAGTAAAGCAGCCGGCTTAATATTTTTGTAAGTAAATTTTATATTTATTTTCTATTTAATTTCTAAGTGACCTTCAACTCTCCCATCTTTGCCTTCTCTCTCTTCTTGACAAACATCCTCAATCCCTTACAAATGTTCAAGGGGTGCCTTGGCCTTTTTGACCCTCAAGGCGCTACGTCCGTTATTTACGCTTTAGCATGAACTATGCTGAAATCACATTAAAATTTTATTTTTTTAATAGGTGACGTTCCTCTCGCGCTTCCTTGACATTTCACCAATCCTTGCATGCCCACGCACCAGCCCCATCATTTTCAAAGCATGCCTTGCACTAATTCCACCCTCATCCACCCCCTAAACCCAGATTAACGTAGATGGCTCATTCCTTTTCACATTAATTTTAGATTTATTTGTGATTAAATTACTGGGTGACCTTCAAATCTTCCTTCCTTGGCTTCTTTTTCTTCCTGACCAACATCCTCAATCCCTTACAAAATTTCAAGGGGTGCCTTGGCCTTTTTGACCCTCAAGGCGCTACGTCCGTTATTTACGCTTTAGCATGAACTATGCTGAAATCACTTTAAATTTTTATTTTTTTAATAGGTGACGTTCCTCTCGCGCTTCCTTGACATTTCACCAATCCTTGCATGCCCACGCACCAGCCCCATCATTTTCAAAGCATGCCTTGCACTAATTCCACCCTCATCCACCCCCTAAACCCAGATTAACGTAGATGGCTCATTCCTTTTCACATTAATTTTAGATTTATTTGTGATTAAATTACTGGGTGACCTTCAAATCTTCCTTCCTGCCTTCTCTTTCTTCCTGACCAACATCCTCAATCCCTTACAAAATTTCAAGGGGTGCCTTGGCCTGTTTGTCCCACTCGGCTCGTCGTCCACCTTTTTCTCCTTCGCTCGTCTCCTGTTTGAATCGCTTTTAATTTTTATTTTTTTAATAGGTGACGTTCCTCTGGCCCTTCTTTGGTCTTTCAGCAAGCCATGCAAGCCCACCGAGCAGCAACATCATTTGCAAAGCGTGCCTCACTTTCAATCCACCCACGCACATCGAGTAAAGCAGCCGGCTTAATATTTTTGTAAGTAAATTTTATATTTATTTTCTATTTAATTTCTAAGTGACCTTCAACTCTCCCATCTTTGCCTTCTCTCTCTTCCTGACCAACATCCTCAATCCCTTACAAAATTTCAAGGGGTGCCTTGGCCTTTTTGACCCTCAAGGCGCTACGTCCGTTATTTACGCTTTAGCATGAACTATGCTGAAATCACTTTAAATTTTTATTTTTTTAATAGGTGACGTTCCTCTCGCGCTTCCTTGACATTTCACCAATCCTTGCATGCCCACGCACCAGCCCCATCATTTTCAAAGCATGCCTTGCACTAATTCCACCCTCATCCACCCCCTAAACCCAGATTAACGTAGATGGCTCATTCCTTTTCACATTAATTTTAGATTTATTTGTGATTAAATTACTGGGTGACCTTCAAATCTTCCTTCCTGTCTTCTCTTTCTTCCTGACCAACATCCTCAATCCCTTACAAAATTTCAAGGGGTGCCTTGGCCTGTTTGTCCCACTCGGCTCGTCGTCCACCTTTTTCTCCTTCGCTCGTCTCCTGTTTGAATCGCTTTTAATTTTTATTTTTTTAATAGGTGACGTTCCTCTGGCCCTTCTTTGGTCTTTCAGCAAGCCATGCCAGCCCACCGAGCAGCAACATCATTTGCAAAGCGTGCCTCACTTTCAATCCACCCACGCACATCGAGTAAAGCAGCCGGCTTAATATTTTTGTAAGTAAATTTTATATTTATTTTCTATTTAATTTCTAAGTGACCGTCAACTCTCCCATCTTTGCCTTCTCTCTCTTCTTGACAAACATCCTCAATCCCTTACAAATGTTCAAGGGGTGCCTTGGCCTTTTTGACCCTCAAGGCGCTACGTCCGTTATTTACGCTTTAGCATGAACTATGCTGAAATCACTTTAAATTTTTATTTTTTTAATAGGTGACGTTCCTCTCGCGCTTCCTTGACATTTCACCAATCCTTGCATGCCCTCGCACCAGCCCCATCATTTTCAAAGCATGCCTTGCACTAATTCCACCCTAATCCACCCCCTAAACCCAGATTAACGTAGATGGCTCATTCCTTTTCACATTAATTTTAGATTTATTTGTGATTAAATTACTGGGTGACCTTCTAATCTTCCTTCCTTGCCTTCTCTTTCTTCCTGACCAACATCCTCAATCCCTTACAAAATTTCAAGGGGTGCCTTGGCCTGTTTGTCCCACTCGGCTCGTCGTCCACCTTTTTCTCCTTCGCTCGTCTCCTGTTTGAATCGCTTTTAATTATTATTATTTTAATAGGTGACGTTCCTCTGGCCCTTCTTTGGTCTTTCAGCAAGCCATGCAAGCCCACCGAGCAGCAACATCATTTGCAAAGCGTGCCTCACTTTCAATCCACCCTCAACAACCCACGCACATCGAGTAAAGCAGCCGGCTTAATATTTTTGTAAGTTAATTTTATATTTATTTTCTATTTAATTTCTAAGTGACCTTCAACTCTCCCATCTTTGCCTTCTCTCTCTTCCTGACCAACATCCTCAATCCCTTACAAAATTTCAAGGGGTGCCTTGGCCTTTTTAACCCTCAAGGCGCTACGTCCGTTATTTACGCTTTAGCATGAACTATGCTGAAATCACTTTTAATTTTTATTTTTTTAAAAGGTGACATTCCTCTTGCGCTTCCTTGACATTTCACCAAGTGCCCACCAAGTAACCCCTCTAATTTTTAAAGTATGCCTGGTCCATCTTTAACCCTCGTTCACCCTTACGCCTTGGATAAGGTGTCGGGCTGCCTCTTTAGTAAGTTGTTTGGGTAAACTGAATTTTTTTTCTGTTTCTTGATATCCTTCTGGCTATAGTTAGAAGGATATAGCTATAGATAACACACTCCTTCCCAAAATTTTAAGGGGACCTTTGCCACACTATTTTTTACATAATTGTTTTTGCTGTCTATTTTCTAACTACCTTTAATTTTTCACAGGCGATTTTCCACAAACTCCGGATGCCCACCAATCAGCTCATCATGTCCAACGATTTATTATCTCACAGACGTCAAAAGCTATTATTTTATTGAATTTTTGTGCATTTGGCTATATCAGCAATGTTTCTTTGAAATAATAAAATAAGTTGAGATTATATAAAAACTTCAGTGTACTTGTGATATTTATTTTCCCATTTATTTATTCAAAGAACCCATTTTACAGTTCCATTCTTGTCCCTTCAGTGAGACACATCTTATTGCCTTGTGATAGTATTGAAATCTTGAATCATCAACAGGAAACACGGAACGAACTGCTCTGCTGCGAAATGAAAACAAGGAAAAGTAGTCAGTACGCCGACGATGCGCACCAAAAGGAAGCCCCACGACGAAGAAAAGCGAGAGGTAAGGGTAATTTATGGCCCCGAATGTCGGAAAATCGTGGAAAAAGGGGGTGTGGTTTTTATTTTGAGGGCTACAGGCTACATCGGGGTAAACGGAGACGGCCGTTATTTTGGGGTCGAATTAGTTGGGAATTCGAGGAAGCAAAAGTGGCCGTTAATTATGGGGTTGAATTTTAGTCGGAAAAAGGGGGCGTTGTCTTTAAATTGTCGCCTAATGGGGGTTAACTAGGGTGGCCGTTAATTTGGGGTCGAATTAGTCGGGTATTCGAGGGGAGTAATTCTATTTACACGGACGGTCCGTGGAAATTAGCAAAAAAGTGCTATAAAAGCTATTTGCACGGACGGTCCGTGAGCAAATCCACGACACAATAAACTATTAGCACGGACGGTCTGTGCAAGAAGCGGAGTCACGACACTATGAACTTTTTGCACGGACAAAGGGAAAATGTGAAAAGGGGTGGGTACGTGGCTGCGCAGCTGCCTGTTTCCCGCCGAAATGCGCAAAACCAGTCAGCTGGCAGCAAAAAAATACATAACGAGAAATCGACGCGTATTATAGCAAAGGCAGAAATTGAGGATGCGGAGCAATGTAAATATAGATCTGAGTGGTAAATAAATTCTTAATAGCAGGCGAGAAGGACAGCAGTACGAAGTACGATTGGAAAGTACAGGGAGCGAGGGTGCGGTACATACGAACCCTCGAATTCGGGCACGCTGCTCTGGCCACCATCGCTGGCAAAAATTGACAAAGCAGCAATGAAAAAGTGTGATTAAAATGTGTATTCAAAATTTTTATTCGAAAATTTTTGAATATGGGTCAAGTCGTTTATAACTCGGCCCCTAATTGTCTGAGGTCAAAACGGATACCATATCCGATCGAGATGGACCAAATTGTTCCCTAAAGTGCCCTTTTCATTCAGTTTATTCGAAATTTTTTTTAAAAAATTTTTGAATATGGGTCAAGTCGTTTATAACTCGGCCCCTAAGTGTCTGAGGTCAAAACGGATAGCATATCCGATCGAGATGGACCAAATTGTTCCCTAAAGTGCCATTTTCGTTCAGTTAATTCGAAATTTTTTAAAAAATTTTTGAATATGCGTCAAGTCGTTTATAACTCGGCCCCTAATTGTCTGAGGTCAAAACGGATAGCATATCCGATCGAGATGGACCAAATTGTTCACTAAAGTGCCATTTTCGTTCAGTTTATTCGAAATTTTTTTTCGAAAATTTTTGATTATGGGTCAAGTCGTTTATAACTCGGCCCCTAATTGTCTGAGGTCAAAACGGATAGCATATCCGATCAAGATGGACCAAATTGTTCACAAAAGTGCCATTTTCGTTCAGTTTATTCGAAATTTTTTTTCGAAAATTTTTGAATATGGGTCAAGTCGTTTATAACTCTGCCCCTAATTGTCTGAGGTCAAAACGGATAGCATATCCGATCAAGATGGACCAAATTGTTCCCTAAAGTGCCCTTTTCGTTCAGTTTATTCGAATTTTTTTTTTGAAAATTTTTGATTATGGGTCAAGTCGTTTATAACTCGGCCCCTAATTGTCTGAGGTCAAAACGGATAGCATATCCGATCAAGATGGACCAAATTGTTCACTAAAGTGCCATTTTCGTTCAGTTTATTCGAAATTTTTTTTCGAAAATTTTTGAATATGGGTCAAGTCGTTTATAACTCTGCCCCTAATTGTCTGAGGTCAAAACGGATACCATATCCGATCGAGATGGACCAAATTGTTCACTAAAGTGCCATTTTCGTTCAGTTTATTCGAAATTTTTTTTCGAAAATTTTTGATTATGGGTCAAGTCGTTTATAACTCTGCCCCTAATTGTCTGAGGTCAAAACGGATAGCATATCCGATCGAGATGGACCAAATTGTTCCCTAAAGTGCCCTTTTCATTCAGTTTATTCGAAATTTTTTTTCGAAAATTTTTGATTATTGGTCAAGTAGTTTATAACTCAGCCCCTAATTGTCTGAGGTCAAAACGGATAGCATATCCGATCAAGATGGACCAAATTGTTCCCTAAAGCGCCCTTTTCGATCAGTTTATTCGAAATTTTTTTTCGAAAATTTTTGATTATTGGTCAAGTCGTTTATAACTCGGCCCCTAATTGTCTGAGTACAAAACGGATAGCATATCCGATCGAGATGGACCAAATTGTTCCCTAAAGTGCCATTTTCGTTCAGTTTATTCGAAATTTTTTTTCAAAAATTTTTGTATATGGGTCAAGTCGTTTATAACTCGGCCCCTAATTGTCTGAGGTCAAAACGGATAGCATATCCGATCGAGATGGACCAAATTGTTCCCTAAAGTGCTATTTTCATTCAGTTTATTCGAAATTTTTTTTCAAAAATTTTTGATAATGGGTCAAGTCGTTTATAACTCGGCCCCCAATTGTCTGAGGTCAAAACGGATTGCATATTCGATCAAGATGGACCAAATTGTTCCCTAAAGTGCCTTTTTCAATCAGTTTATTCGAAATTTGTTTTCGAAAATTTTTGATTATGGGTCAAGTCGTTTATAACTCGGCCCCTAATTGTCTGAGGTCAAAACGGATTGCATATTCGATCAAGATGGACCAAATTGTTCCCTAAAGTGCCCTTTTCGTTCAGTTTATTCGAAATTTTTTTTCGAAAATTTTTGAATATGGGTCAAGTCGTTTAAAACTCGGCCCCTAATTGTCTGAGGTCAAAACGGATAGCATATCCGATCAAGATGGACCAAATTGGTCCCTAAAGTGCCCTTTTCGATCAGTTTATTCGAAATTTTTTTTCGAAAATTTTTGATTATTGGTCAAGTCGTTTATAACTCGGCCCCTAATTGTCTGAGGTCAAAACGGATACCATATCCGATCGAGATGGACCAAATTGTTCACTAAAGTGCCATTTTCGTTCAGTTTATTCGAAATTTTTTTTCGAAAATTTTTGATTATGGGTCAAGTCGTTTATAACTCTGCCCCTAATTGTCTGAGGTCAAAACGGATAGCATATCCGATCGAGATGGACCAAATTGTTCCCTAAAGTGCCCTTTTCATTCAGTTTATTCGAAATTTTTTTTCGAAAATTTTTGATTATTGGTCAAGTAGTTTATAACTCAGCCCCTAATTGTCTGAGGTCAAAACGGATAGCATATCCAATTGAGATGGACCAAATTGTTCCCTTAAGTGCCATTTTCGTTCAGTTTATTCGAAATTTTTTTTCGAAAATTTTTGATTATGGGTCAAGTCGTTTATAACTCGGCCCCTAATTGTCTGAGGTCAAAACGGATAGCATATCCGATCAAGATGGACCAAATTGTTCCCTAAAGTGCCCTTTTCGATCAGTTTATTCGAAATTTTTTTTCGAAAATTTTTGATTATTGGTCAAGTCGTTTATAACTCGGCCCCTAATTGTCTGAGTACAAAACGGATAGCATATCCGATCGAGATGGACCAAATTGTTCCCTAAAGTGCCATTTTCGTTCAGTTTATTCGAAATTTTTTTTCAAAAATTTTTGTATATGGGTCAAGTCGTTTATAACTCGGCCCCTAATTGTCTGAGGTCAAAACGGATAGCATATCCGATCGAGATGGACCAAATTGTTCCCTAAAGTGCTATTTTCATTCAGTTTATTCGAAATTTTTTTTCAAAAATTTTTGATAATGGGTCAAGTCGTTTATAACTCGGCCCCCAATTGTCTGAGGTCAAAACGGATTGCATATTCGATCAAGATGGACCAAATTGTTCCCTAAAGTGCCTTTTTCGTTCAGTTTATTCGAAATTTGTTTTCGAAAATTTTTGATTATGGGTCAAGTCGTTTATAACTCGGCCCCTAATTGTCTGAGGTCAAAACGGATTGCATATTCGATCAAGATGGACCAAATTGTTCCCTAAAGTGCCCTTTTCGTTCAGTTTATTCGAAATTTTTTTTCGAAAATTTTTGAATATGGGTCAAGTCGTTTAAAACTCGGCCCCTAATTGTCTGAGGTCAAAACGGATAGCATATCCGATCAAGATGGACCAAATTGGTCCCTAAAGTGCCCTTTTCGATCAGTTTATTCGAAATTTTTTTTCGAAAATTTTTGATTATTGGTCAAGTCGTTTATAACTCGGCCCCTAATTGTCTGAGGTCAAAACGGATACCATATCCGATCGAGATGGACCAAATTGTTCCCTAAAGTGCCATTTTCGTTCAGTTTTTTTCGAAATTTTTTTTCAAAAATTTTTGAATATGGGTCAAGTCGTTTATAACTCGGCCCCTAATTGTCTGAGGTCAAAACGGATAGCATATCCGATCGAGATGGACCAAATTGTTCCCTAAAGTGCCATTTTCGTTCAGTTTATTCGAAATTTTTTTTCAAAAATTTTTGTATATGGGTCAAGTCGTTTATAACTCGGCCCCTAATTGTCTGAGGTCAAAACGGATAGCATATCCGATCGAGATGGACCAAATTGTTCCCTAAAGTGATATTTTCATTCAGTTTATTCGAAATTTGTTTTCGAAAATTTTTGATTATGGGTCAAGTCGTTTATAACTCGGCCCCCAATTGTCTGAGGTCAAAACGGATTGCATATTCGATCAAGATGGACCAAATTGTTCCCTAAAGTGCCTTTTTCGTTCAGTTTATTCGAAATTTGTTTTCGAAAATTTTTGATTATGGGTCAAGTCGTTTATAACTCGGCCCCTAATTGTCTGAGGTCAAAACGGATTGCATATTCGATCAAGATGGACCAAATTGTTCCCTAAAGTGCCCTTTTCGTTCAGTTTATTCGAAATTT